GACTGACTGTAACATGACTTAAAGGCCAATCATAATTGATAGTACCACATTTGAATACCCAGGGATCAGGATAAAGACGGAGGATATGTATATGCACAAAGGAGCTTAAAATAAAGCTATAAACAGGTAGAACTCACCGTGAGTCTTGTAACTTGTGTCTGTGGATCAATTAACCTATAATAATCATTAAAAATTTGGAAAACAAATTTTAATTAGACAGAGATCATGTAAACCTTTTTTTTCCCTACAGTGTTTTTGAGGGAGGGGTTACTACTTACTTTAAACAGTCACAAGTGACTAATAAATGTGACTCTGTCATACGAAAGATGTTATGGATGGCCCTGGCAGCTAAGATCTGGCGCATTGTTTCATAAACAACATCTGGACTGTCATCTGATTTCACCTCCATAGAGCCGAGGAATCGGACAATAAATAGCTGATGAAGAATAGAATCTATAACAGAACAAGGTACATTATATATTTTTAAATCCTATGTTTCTTTTCCTAAAGAATAAAATATATTGCTTCCTTCTAGATTTGCCAGTGAAAAATTCAACTTAGCAGAGGTATTTAGAAATAACTCCTAACTCCAGCGTTCAAGTTACAGGAAACTGAAGGCCTCACATTCAAATAGCAGAAGATTACTCTCAAAAGATAGTTCTGAGTAAAAAGAATTCCATGTATTATTCTTATAACTTTTCTATAAGTCTGAAATTATATCAAAATAAATAGCTAATAGAAAACGAAAAGTTATACTCCAATATCAGAAGTGAAACATCAATTATTAAGAAAAGCTTAAAAATATGTTACGCACTGGAAAACTTGCCTATGAGGTCAAAAGTGTGATATTCTATAATTTTGTGTGAATAATAATATCTTAACCCAGATAAAGTTCTGGTGCTTTAAATGCATTATGAGCAGAAAATTTTGAAGATAACATTAAAGCTGTGCATTGTAGCACAACAAATGTAAATGACAAATTCTTCACACAGTTTCCTACTGAGAAGAATTTCTAAAATATAAGAACATGGCACGTCTATTTTACCTTCCGTTTCAGATTTTGTACCTCCTCCAGATTCTCCAAATGGATTTGTACGCCTGAGAAGTTTAGAGAAATGTGAACCAATGGTCAGTTACCATAAGCGACACAGAGAAATCTCAATCATTAAAACCAGAGTTAAAAACTAAGAGTCACAAAATCCTACGCATACATTTTAAAAAGAAAAGCTCTAAAATGCCCCGACCCGTTAAGGAACATTACTGATGACCAAATCATTGTGAAGAAGGCCCGACTTCACACAATCACTGAGTTAACAGGCTGACCCCAATGTTGTTGCACTTTAGAAGACACAGATGGACGGGAGTTTAACTGCACATGCACACGCACACAAACACACAGATAGATCAGTATCACAATAAAACCCTTCGTGAATTTAAGCAGACAAGCACAGAGGAAATGTCTATTTAGTTCCAGTGTTAGCTGCCTGAAAAAAAATTCAGGGATTTATTGGGATTGTGAAAACCTCTTTTAGGTTCTTTAAGTACATGTAGCAAGTTAACTCTAATGATTTGAACATTTTCTAGTTTTAAATCCATATTTCTCAAGGTGTAAGTAACAGAATGGGTGAACAAAAATGAATTGGAGATGGAAGCAACCTCCCCCCTTAGTGTGCCTGGCACTTGGCATACCCACAATGAAGGAAGAAAGTACAATTCAAGGTAGGTTCTGGAAGCAGAGA